AGGGACAGCCACAGCTTCTCTGGGCACCTGTGCCAGGGCCTCAGCACTCTCAGAGCCAGGAATTCCTTCCCAATGTCCCATCTCACCCTGCCCTCTGGCAGTGGCAAGCCCCCTTGTCCTGTCACTCCAGGCTCTTGTCCCAACTCCCTCTCCAGCTCTCTTGGAGCCCTTTTAGCTACTGGAAACTGCTCTAAGGTCTCTCTGGAGCTTTCTGTTCTCCAAATCTCTCAGCCTGGCCCCAGAGCAGAAGTGCTCCAGCCCTCAGAACATCTTTGTGGTCCTTTGAGAGGGGACAGCAGGGGACAGAAGCCCTGACACTTCCTTGAAGGGGACAGAAGCCCTGCCAGGTCACTGCCCTGCTGGCTGCCCCGTTGGTGTGATCCCAGCACAGGCTGAGCCTGTTGGGAGCACCTGCAGAGCTTTGCACTGAGAGTGAAAATTTAGCAGGGTAGAAATCTATTTAGATTTAAGTGAAATGTGTCACTTTGAGTTTACTAAATATGCTGTTTAGTTTAGTAACTGCAGCCCTAGCAAAACTACCCTAGCTAAAGACAAAGAATGCAAATTTCTACACTAAGATAAAAAAGACTCCTCAGACCTTAAAACAGATAGGGCAGAGTAACTCAAGAGTTCTTTCTGTACTTTCTAACAAAAACTGAGTGCAAGTGTAACTAGCTATAAGTATAATGTAAAATCAGTAAAATAAATATGCATTAACCTATTGTGGAATTCTATGCATATAGAAATTAGTAAGGGTAATAAAAAAAGATCAAGAGTTCTCAGAGGGGTGCACGTCCATTGAAGAGCAATGAGTCCCGACATGCATCCACAGCACTGTGAATAAACATACCCATTCCCTACAAATCTTTATTAAAATTGTGGGGTGTCGTTTTTCATCCGCATTTCAGCACCCCAAACTGGTGTTCCCTGGACACCTTGGGGAGAACCTGGCCTCTGAGGGATGATATCAAATGCACCAAGCATTTCATACCTGCTTCTCCAAAGCGTGACATTCCTAAGGTGTGGGGACAAACAGTGATGGGAAAGGAGGTGACTGTCACAGCCCTGAGTGCACCAACAGGTTCTGCAGCCTCTTCCCTGCCCCTCCCAGGCTTTTCTTTAGCTGCAGGTGCTCAGGGTCAGCCCTGGTGCAGGGCAGATGTAAGGTGGGATCAGGCTGCTGTGGAAACACGAGAATTCCTGCTTGGAGTTTTTGCCCATGAACCTGCAGCCCTGGCCTTGAGAGCTCTGCTCCAGCACTGTGCCTTGGTCCTGCTCCTTGCCTGAGCTGGGCTGCAGATCTGGCTCTGCCTGCCCTGCTGTGCCAAGCAGCTCTTCCTGGCAGGGGAAGCAGGAAGCAATAGAATAAAATCAAAGCTTATTCCCATTCTGGTCACTTATGTATTACAACGGTGGGATTATTTGCCAGTATAAATGTGTAATTGATTATTAATTCCCTTTCCAGAGGCGCTGTGCCCTCTACTCCCCGTTTCACACAGACTGCAAATGGACACAGAGTGAAACCTCGGTTGTCAGAATCTGTGGTATTGATGATTCTGAGATTGTAGAAAGTCTCTGTCTGTCAGCCCCGTTGCCAAAGCAGAAGCCATAATTCGTCTGTGCTGGTTTCAAGGTTGTTTATTCTGTTTATCTCTAACATGTTCTGCTGCCCTGCCGCAGCTCTGTCCTGCAGGGCAGCGTGTGGGGCTCTGCCCTCAGTGGGATGTTACAAACATTAAATACCAGAAACTACCTGTGCTGGATTTACAATAACGTGCCAATATCTGTCACCTACGTTGGACAGTGTGTCCCCAGCCTGAACCAACAGAAAAATGCCAACACCACAGTGAAACATGGAGGGCATGAAGAAGGAGAAAAAGGACAAGACACACCCAATTTCCTCCATCTTGTCCCCTCTGAGCCCCTTATCTAGAATCCTAAAATTTTACTTTTGCACCTGTGCCACACTTAGTTTTTACTTATATCAACCACTCAGAGCTTGTAATTGATCCTGTAAGATTGAAAACTCTTTTCCATGGACAGAGATCCCAGACAGTGTCTCTGGGGCTCTGTCCAGGGGGGTCCCAGACCTGCCAGGGCAGCCAAAGGGATGTCCTGGATTCCCATACTCAGTGATGGGGCTGCATTTAGCACACAGAAAGCACATCTGGTTTATTGCTTATGCTGTTCAGGCTTTTAAAAGTCAAAGTACTCGTGGCTCCCTGCTGATATAAATATTCCAGGCTGCTGCTTGCTCCAGGGTGAACGTAAGGCGAAACCTCCTCCAAGTTTCAAACACTCTCACCTCCTGCTGAACCGGCCTTTGGTTGCAGCGCCTGCCCCGGGGCTGCCAGAGCTCACTGGGGGAATCTCCTCTTTTTTCTGCCTTCATTCTCTGATCTACCCTCACCAAAAGCATCATGGCAGAGCAGGACAGGGATGAGCAGCAGGGTGTCAGAAGAGTTCAAGCAGTTGTATCAGTTTTAGCACCTGTAAAACCTGGGCAGAAAGTGAGATGCTGCTGGGAGCTGCCTCGAGGGTGAGGCAGGAGCAATGGGAATTATCTGTATGGAAGCCATGGTAGCATGGCAAAGACACCAGAACTCAAGGTAAATTCATCATTAAAAAAAAAAAATAAACAAACCCAAACAACAAACACAAAAATAAGGTCAGTGTGGATTTGCATATTTCAATATTAATACAGGGGACAAAGAGATGTTTCTTCATGCTGTGGGCAGCTGAACCTTAGAACTCCTTGCCAGAGGTTGTGGATGGAGAAAGCTTTCCTGGCTTTAAAAGGAAATTAAGTCAGGTGTTTAGAGCATCCTGCTGAGGATTACCAAGTAGAAAAACCACATAAGGGTCACAGAATTCTCTGGGATGAAAGTAGTTGGAAGCTCTAGTTCATGTGGAAAATATCACTTATCCTTTCTTTGACATGTGCCTCCAGATACTTTTGAAAACTACTTACACATTCCATCTGAATCAGTATCCCTGTCCCTTTTTATATATTAACAAGAAACCATTAACATGAATATTAAAAAGCAGAATAACCATTCAGTGGTTCTTCCCATTTTCAGTTTGAAACAAACCCTATATCCTGAACACATTTAAACAAGCCAGAATTACATTTTTTAAAGGCATGGATGTATTCAGTTCAGAGAGATCAGTCAGACAATTAAACCTCCCACGTGCTCATCAAATGCACCCAAGACTAAGGATTTTGACATGTTCTTCTGCAACAATGTACAGCAAATAAAATTATTTATCTCCTGCTACAGTATTAAATGAGTTGTTCTAGAGGTTAACAAATCTGGTTCCCAAATTCTCAGGAAATGGAAATGTAAGGCTTTATGTCTAAGTTACTCCATCATTGTTGTTTTGGGAGGAAATGATTTGAGCATTATGAGACTGTAATTTCTGTGTGAATGTAGAGCTCAGCCAGGGTCTTACACTGATGTGTTGGTGACACAAAATGTTTAATGACATCTCTGGTGACATCCTGTCACACTTCTGACAGTGTGAGACAGAAATGTGGCTGCTACAGAAGGTGCTGAGCTACCTGGTCTCGCCAGCCACTGTCACAGGAGTGTCATGATCCACTCTTGTGGGCAGACATCAAACCTCCACTCAGGAAGTGACTGAGAGCTCCTCCTGCATCTTTTCATGGAGGCTCTGGTTCCTGGATAGGTGTAAAATTGTGTGTGCTGAGGTTTTAATCTTACACTCCTCCCCCACCTTGCAATGTTTTGGCTTCACTGTTTTCCTATCTAAGGTCACAGAATCCCAGAATAGTTTGTGTTGGAAGGGACACTAAAGCTCATCCCATTCCACCCCCTTCCATGGGCAGGGACACCTTCCGCTATCCCAGTTTGCTCCAAGCCCTGTCCAACCTTGGACACTCCCAGGGATCCAGGGGCAGCCACAGCTGCTCTGGGCACCCTGTGCCAGGGCCTTCCACCCTCACAAGGAAGAATTTCTTCCCAATATCCCATCTAAACCTTCAGATACACAGCAGTGGTTTAACCCCACTACTCAGACACCCACAAGTTGCATCCACATAACCATAAATAAGCATTTGTGAAGGGCATAAAGCCTGCCAGAGCTTTGTTTGTCAGACCAAGGTGTACCTTTCCTTTCAGGCAGAGCTGTGTGCTATCACTTGAGTTATTCACAATTATTTACCTTGGAACCAGCACTGTGGCCTTTTAAACCCAGGATTAGTGTCCAGCCCTCCTGCTCACTCAGGAAGTGGTGATGAAGACATTTGAGCTCTAACAAGCCATTATGTCTATTTTAACACAACCACCAATGCCAACTTGTGCTCATCCAGAGAGCTGTCAAGGGTTTTGCATGTCAGTGTATTCTCCTCTAGTTTAATTTAAAATGTTTGGGAAGGTTACAGTATTTGACATGCTCTGTTCTTTCTCAGTCATGACTAAGATCATTAAATCCTAAAAAAATCCCAAAGGCAAGCAGTCTAATAAACCAGTCTTTAATTCTGAGGCTGGCAGGATAATTCAAACAGGAGGTCAGTCAAAAAATCACACTCTCCTGTGTGCTGTGGGGAGCTGAGTAGATGAGTGCCCTGCCTCTTTCTAACCCCCATGCCATGGCAAGAAGTGAATTTGCATTAAATACAGCCTAAGAAACCACTCAGTGAAATAACTGCAAGGTATTTTCTCAGTGAGGCCCTGCTCATGTTGGCTGGCACTTCCCCAGCTCCCTGTGGTTTTAGGGAATAATGCCTGAGTTTGTGTGATCCCCTTGGCTGGGCTGCCTGACCCTGCATGTGCCATTTCTAAAGTGTGGTGACCCCACTCCATAGCACTCTGAGCAAGGAAAACTTCAAATATATTCCTATTTTATAGGCATAAACCATGCTGCCGTTTCAGAATGTGCCCTGGTTGTTTTGTGGGTTTGTATTTGGTTGTTTTGTGGGTTTCTTGTTTGGTTGTTTGTAGTGCTTAACACAGAAAGATTCTCCCAACACTCCAGTATTCAGTGGTGCAGGTTTATTTTTATGCCTTTTGCCCCAAATACTCAGTCCATGCTTTTCTCTACAGATTTTTCCTTGACATAAGGATTTTCTGCTTAAAAATGGAATGAAATATTGGCTTCAAATTCCACAGCAAAGCTCCTCATATGGGATACAGATTGTGTCAGCTTATCTGTCTCAAGCCTGTCTGCATGTAAACTTGTTTTCTTTGGAACTTCAGTGGTGCTCTGTGCCTCATTGTTCACATTCTTACAGCTGGGGTTGTGGCAAGGGAAAAATCAGCTTTTTGTTTCTCTCCTGTGCCACTGGGTAGATCATTGCTGGCGTGTAGATGAAAATATATTTTTTCTTTATAAATGTTTAGACTCAGCAATCAAAATGGAAGTGTTCAAAGCCAGGCTGGACAGGGCTTGGAGCAACCTGGGCTAGTGGAATGTGTTCAAAGCAGCAACCCTCAGCAGGGATGGTCAGATTGTGAAGCAAGGCAGACTTGCAGCAGTGAGATGAGTGGAAGCTGTCAGAGGAACAGCAGAACACCAGTGGTTACTCACTGCACATGGTGCTGAGCAGGGCTGCTATTGCTTAGACACAGCAACAACTCAGATAACAGCTCCATGTCATGGTTTTTGAGTTCAGAGCTCCCTTGTTCAGGAATGATTTATTGTTTACGCTTTTTATTCTGCTGGTTTTTTCAGATGAATGTCCTGTGAGAGCAGTTTGTGTTGTGCTACTGCTGCAACACCTGCAATGCGAAACATGGAATGGTTTGGGTTTGGGAAGATTATTAAAGGTTATCCAGTCCTACCCCTGTTGGAACCATGGTTACTGAGAATTTCAGACTTTCTGTGCTGACAGGCACTCACCCCCAAGGGAACACTGCATTTGCCCTGAGGCTGTAAAGAAGACTTCCAAAACTGAATGATAAAACTGAGATTATGAGTGTATAGTTTGAACAGAAGTGTGTAATATCATATAGTAGAAAACTTGACATTTAAGGTTTTAGAATATAGTAATACATAAAAAGCAGATGAAAATTTTAGGACAGAGACTAACCCTTCTTTTACACCTTCTTCTTCATAGGTTTAAGTGGTATTGTGTAATTAGATAAAATCCACATTACAAGCCATGGGTAATTAGTTGTTAGGCTCAAAGTAAAAATAATTTAAGTGTCATTTCTTAATTAGACAGTCTATCTTTAAAAAACCTTGTAGAGAAAGAGATAAGACTCCATTTTTGCAGGAGTTTGGATAAAAGGCGGCTGCGCCCTCCGAAACCTCGAGAGAGAAGACCCGCGGGGATGTGCCCCAGTGGCCTCGCTGCCTTCACCTGAATAAAGCTGCAGGACTCCTCTGTCTCCTTTATGGACACTGGCTTTTCCCACAGGGATTTGCTGTACAATCCCCACACGCCATCAGCATCCCGAGGCACCCCCATCCCCGCTCCCAGCCTGGTCCCATCCCCGCTCCCAGCCTGGTCCCATCCCCGCTCCCAGCCTCCTTCCCAGACCCGGTGCCAGTTCCCAGTCCTGATCTCAGCTCGCTCCCCCTAGTTCCATCCCGGTTGCCAGTTCCGTTCCCCAGCCCTGTTCCCAGCCCCATTCCCAGCCTGTTCCCTAGCCCCATTCCCAGCCCGCTCTCCCCGGTCCCAGTCCCGGTCCCATCCCCGTTCTCGGCCCTCTCTCCCCGTTCCCGGCCCGCTCTACCATTCCCACCCCCGTTCCCAGCCCTCTCTCTCCCGTTCCCATTCCCGTTCCCAGTCCCGTTCCCGGCCCGCTCTCCCGGTCCCATCCCTGTTCCCGGCCCGCTCTCCCGGTCCCATCCCCGTTCCCAGTCCCATTCCCGGCCCGTTCTCCCGGTCCCATCCCCATTCCCAGTCCCATTCCCATTCCCGTTCCCGGCCCGTTCTCCCGGTCCCATCCCCGTTCCCAGTCCCATTCCCATCCCCGTTCCCGGCCCGCTCTCCCGGCCCCATCCCCGTTCCCGGCCCGCTCTCCCGTTCCCATTCCCGGTCCCATCCCCGTTCCCGGCCCGCTCTCCCCGTTCCCGGTCCCATCCCCGTTCCCATTCCCATTCCCAGTCCCGTTCCCGGCCCGTTCTCCCGGTCCCATCCCCGTTCCCATCCCCATTCCCATTCCCGTTCCCATTCCCATTCCCATTCCCATTCCCGGCCCGTTCTCCCGGTCCCATCCCCATTCCCGGCCCGCTCTCCCGTTTCCATTCCCGGTCCCATCCCCGTTCCCAGCCCTCTCTCTCCCGTTCCCATCCCCGTTCCCAGTCCCATTCCCGGTCCCATCCTCGTTCCCATTCCCATCCCCGTTCCCAGACCTCTCTCTCCCGTTCCTATCCCCATTCCCAGTCCCATTCCCGGCCCGCTCTCCCGGTCCCATCCCCGTTCCCATTCCCATTCCCATTCCCATTCCCATTCCCATTCCCATTCCCATTCCCATTCCCATCCTCGTTCCCATCCCCGTTCCCAGCCCTCTCTCTCCCGTTCCCATCCCCGTTCCCAGTCCCGTTCCCGGCCCGCTCTTCCGTTCCCATTCCTGGTCCCATCCCCGTTCCCGGCCCGCTCTCCCGGTCCCATCCCCGTTCCCAGCCCTCTCTCTCCCGTTCCCAGTCCCATTCCCGGCCCGTTCTCCCGGTCCCATCCCCGTTCCCATTCCCATTCCCATTCCCATTCCCATTCCCATTCCCATTCCCATTCCCATTCCCATTCCCATTCCCGTTCCCAGCCCTCTCTCTCCCGTTCCCATCCCCGTTCCTGGTCCCATCCCCGTTCCCAGCCCGCTCTCCCGTTCCCGGCCCGCTCTTCCGTTCCCGGCCCGCTCTCCCCGTTCCCGGTCCGTTCTCCCGGTCCCATCCCCGGCCCGTTCTCCCGGTCCCATCCCCGTTCCCATTCCCATTCCCATCCCCGTTCCCAGCCCTCTCTCTCCCGTTCCCATCCCCGTTCCCGGCTCTCTCTCCCCTTTCCCGGCCCGCTCTCCCGGTTCCATCCCCGTTCCCCGCCCGCTCTCCCGGCCCCATCCCCGTTCCCGGTCCCGTTCCCGGCCCGCTCTCCCCGTTCCCGGTCCCATCCCCGTTCCCAGCCCTCTCTCTCCCGTTCCCATCCCCGTTCCCATCCCCGTTCCCGGCCCGCTCTCCCGGTCCTCCGGGCGCTGTCCCGGCGCTCCCCGCGCGGCCGCTCCCGCCGCTCCTCGCTGGTGAGGCGGGCGGGGCCGGCGCCGGGCGGAGCGGGGAGCGAGGGAGGCCGCGGGGGAAGGGAGGTGAGCGGCGGAGGGCCCGGGGGACACTGACCCTGCTCCGGGGGGGACAGGGGGACACTGACCCTGCTCCGGGGGGGACAGGGGGACACTGACCCTGCTCCGGGGGGGACAGGGGGACACTGACCCTGCTCCGGGGGGGACACTGACCCTGCTCCGGGGGCGACAGGGGGACACTGACCCTGCTCCCCATCCTCCTCCTGTGCCCCCGTCCCCTGCGCGTACCCCGGCCCGGGATGTGCTGGGGGAGCGAACCGGGGTGAACTTGAGGTGTGGGGGTGTCTGGGGCAGTTCGAGTGCTTGGGAAGGCGATGAGGGGGGTTTGGGGGTGGGGTGGGGAGCAGGGGGATGTGTGTGTTGGGATACAGGATATAGGATTTGGGGGTTTCTTGAGGGGTTGGGTTGGGGATGGCTTGGGGCGAGCAGGGATAACGGGAGGGTTTGGGAGCTGCGGGATGGGGATAAGGTTTTGGGGTGTCTGAGTGCTTGAGGGATGTGTGGAAGGCCTTGTCAGCACAAAGCAGAGCCCCGAGTGGAAGCATGGGTGTGTTTGCTTTCAAGGTGCCCGGGTTTATTGAAGAGTGTGGGAAGGGGGTTCTTTCGGGGATTTTAGGATGCTTGATGCGGGGGAGGAGAGGTGTGAGTGGGGGGTAGTGGGTATAATGTGAGTGGAACAGGATGGAGGTGGGATGGGTCCTTAGTTAGGTGGGCTCATGAAGGGACAGGGGTGAGCTGCTGGGATTGGGGACGCATCAGGATTCAGGTGGATGGGATGGGTGAATATTTGGGAACAGGTGAAGTGGCTGGTGTTTCTGAGAGATGAAGGTGGGGCAGAGCCTCAGAGCATCCCAGAGTTGTTGCAGTGTGGTTTGGAGGATTGTCTGTTGGAATAGTGGGATTGATGTGGGAGCTGGAGGCTGAGGTTGGAGGTTTGTGTGTGCTTTATTTCTGGTAATCCACAGGAGTGTGTGCAGACAGATTTGTGATGGTAAGGGTTTTTTCCACATGCTTCCCCTTGGGGATAAGAGTAAGCCTGTAGGATTTATAGGAGCCTAAAAGCTCTGGATATGCACAAATCCTGTGTTAAATTTTGAGATTGCAGCATGTTTTCAGATTGCTTTTATTCACTGCTCAGTCTGGAGAGTGGGTCTGGGGTGTCTGTAGCTGCTCAGCACTGCGGGGGACTTGGAGGGAGGTCAGCTGGGAAGGATCAGGTGGATACTGGTGCAATCTTAGAAAATGAGAAATTTAACAGTGTCCTGCATTTGATTTTTTTAAATATATCTGAGAAGAAGATAAACTCCACTTTGTGATCCCTCAGGGATGTGATAAATCTCCCTCATGAGCCACATCCTTGTTGGGTAGGACCCAAAAGCTGCAGCACTGGAGCTGCAGCTCAGGTTTTGTGTTTGATGAGTCAACCCGAGTCTCTTTCATGTTCATCCCACCTGTAGCTGTCCAGGACTCCCTCTGGAGATCAGCTGCCTGAGGGAGGATGCTTTAGTGCAATAGTTGTGGTTGTATATCATGTGTCCAAAGTTGTCATGTGTCCAAAAAACGTCATATTCTGCTTCAGGGCCACGGGAACATCTAAAGCTTTTGGCTCTTCCTTCAGCAGGAAGGTCAGAACTGGACAAAGCAGATGGGGTTGAAGCTGGACACCTCTAGAGAGCAGGAAAATATGTCTGAACAGGGAGAGACAGCGAATTCTTGAGAGAAATCCTGGTCACGTATTTTGGGAGCAGTGTGTCATTCTTGGAATGAAACCTGCTTTTAATGGTGAGATAGTTTCTGAAAGAAGCAGGGTTTTTATATAATCTCCCTTCTGAACTCTGAGCTGGTTTACATTTGCTCCCACAGCCTTTTGAGCAGATTGTTTTCTAAGTCCAGCCAATAAAGCAGGAGTTTGTTGGGCATTTGGGGAAGTGTGGCCTGGTGAGTTGGGTGTAATCTTCTTATCCAGAAGAGCTTGTGTAACACGCAGTGAAGTGCAGGAGGTCTGATTGAGGCTGCCTTGATAATCCCTACTCAATCAGGGGAGAGTTGGCTGCTCCCTGGGAAGTGAGGGAAGAGGGAATTGTGCTCCAGGTCACTTAGATACACTGAGGAATTTTTTATTCTGAGACTGGGGCTGTTAATATGTGTCTTGCACTAGGCAGTTTTATTCTGAAGTGTTGTTGCATGTACAGGTGCTTCAAGAAATGAAAAAAAAAAAAACTTTGTTTTTTTGAGTCCTAAATTAGAACTTGTCCTGAAATAATTCCTTGAAATACTTCCCAAGGTTCTGCTTTGTGCCAGATGCTGCCATGATGTTATCACTTTGGACTCTGCAGAGCCTCGAGTTCGTTGTCCAAGTTCAGAGCCAAGGTCAAAGAGCTGCCACGTCCAGCAGATGTGGCAGATCTTTGGGCTGCTGCTGGCTGTGCAAACAGAGAGGCTGCAGGAGGAAAGGGCAGCCAGGGTGACACAGTGACAGCCCCGAGCCACCTGTGACACAGAGTGGCACACCTTGATCAGCTGTGACACTCTGTGCTTGCTCACAGGTGACGTGGCAAAACTGGCTCGCAAGTAGTTAAAATTCCAAGGGCAGTGCCATTGGTGGCTGTCACTTGCCAAAACAGCACAGCTCTAAACTGAAAAGGAAAACCCAACACCTCTTTTTTTCTGAGGAAGGAGAGTGGGCTCCTTTCTCCAGTGAAGTCTGGCATTTAATTTGGAAGTTCTCCTGGTGGACACCTGATCTTTCTTTCCCAGACCAAAGGATGGGCAGCTGGCAGCATTAGGCACAGCAGCAGGAAGGTTTGTATGTCTTGGAAAGTTGGAAAACTCTCTGTGTGCAGTTGGTTAACTGTAGGTGATGTTGTCCTTGGTGATTAATAACAAATATAGATATTTAAATTTAAACTCTTGCTGTTAGTGGCATAGGGAGCGGAATAATTTAATGTGCTGGGTAGGTTTTAGAAAATGTCTTTGATTTCTCAGTTTGGTGCTTTTTCATTGTCCTGATCATCTTCTGGCTGTTTTGGAGTTATTTTGGAGCTAAACTTCAGCATTACCAACCCTTCACTCTAACACTGCAATTCTGAGCAACTGTGTCACCCTGTTCTTTTAAAATTTTTGAAGTTCTTTTAAAAATTTTCTATACATTTTAATGTTTACATATTTCTACTAGAGTTCTCACACACTGTTCATGTAAATAATAATTGGTTTACATTCTTCTTTGTAAGAATTAATAGACTATTAGTTTAACCAATGTAATTAGAGAGCTGACAATTTCTTCCTCCAATCCACTATCACTTTTAAAATTCTATATATCACAAAGTCAGAAATACAAATTAATTCCTTTTACTCTTTTAATCTTAGTGTGAGTGCATGAGTTATTTCATGTTGTAGTGCGACACAACTTTGCTTAGAAGTTGGCTGTGTTAAAGTTAATATTTCTGTTAAAATTCACATTTTTTGGGTTTATTTAACTTTCATGTGAAAATTTTCTGCACTGTTTTATCAATGGCTGTGAGCACATTGAAGATTGGTGGGATCTTTTGAATTGATTTATAATAATCATGATTATTGTTGAAATGACTTCTGATGTGTGTTGGAGTTTGTGAGCTTAGTTTGCTTTTACAACTTAAATGACGGCTGGAAGAGAACTGTGAGAGGGATTGTGGGGAAAAAAAAAAATCACATCTAATTCTTTAATCCCCATTTTAAAAGTTCAAGATAACACTTCTCAAGAATTGTCTGATCTTCTGTACTTTTAATCTGCTTTTCTAAGGAAACAAATTTTGTGCCATTGTGCATTCTGCTAATTCCTCTGATAATTATCCTTTGATAATTGCAGTTGCTTTAATGTGCTGGCACCTTGGACAGAGGGATGGTTCCCACAATTTCTGTGGGAATGCTTCCTGTGGGGTAGAAATGAGACCCTCTTAGTGCTGTATCAGACATCAGGAGAGTTTGTGGTGCCTGAATTAGAAACGTTTTTGCTCTCTGGACTTCTCAGACAAGAAAAGCTCGTCCTGATGAGCCACATTTCAAAGACACTTTGAGCATCCTGATGAATTGTGTGATACAGGGCTGGTCAAAGCAGTTGTTCTCTCTATCAAAAGTTTGAGTTCACAAAGTGTTTCTTTCCCTTCTTTTTATTTCCCCAATGCTTTATTTAGGTAGTTTGCCTGAAGCCAAGTAAATGCCTTTGGTTTTCCTTTTTTCCCTTTTTTTAATTCCTTGAGTTGTTTGTGATAATCCCTTAAAACCTGCTGGTTTAGAGCTGCTCTTTTACTGATATAACTTAAAAAAATATGATTGGGGCATCATAAATATTTTGCATATCATTCCAGTGCATCTTTGAATGAGTCTAGAACTGAATATATTAGATAAGAAAATGAGTTGTTTGTTTTCCTTCAGGCAAAACACTTCCTAGGATATGTTTTCCCACTTCACAGGAGATCCGATGGTAAATATGCATGTAAATACAGGTAATTAATTAAGTTTTTAAACGAATTTTTAATTAGTTCATTCTGATTCTCTTTCAGAGATGATATGAAGTGCTGTTAATCCTCTGACACCGTGCCCTGGATCCCCATGGTATGTCTGAAGGACACATCTCTGCATGTTCTGAATATGCCAGGTGAAACCCAAGAATAACTTTCCACGGGAGTTTGTGACCTCTTAAAGAGGAAGAAGTCAAGAGAGGGCAACTTTTATTCTGTATTTAGCCCTAGGTGAGTCTGTAAAAAGAACCTGACGGGCTCTAGCCTAAAATTTATTTTTGTATTTATGTGTTACACTATTAAATAGAGAAGTGCCACGCTCAGGCAGCTTTTTGGAGCTGCAGTGGAGGTGCAGAACCTGATGGGCTCTAGCCTAAAATTTATTTTTGGATTTGTGTGTTACACTATTAAATAGAGATGTAACATGCTCAGGCATCTTTTTTGGAGCTCCAGTGGAGGTGCAGCACATAAGTAGGGCTTAGCAGCTTCCACACCTGTTAGAACTTTACTCAGCCTTTCTGATGCTTTGGGCAGAGGGAAAACAGGAATATTTTTCAGGTAGATAACCGCCCTATCAAATCCTCTGCCTCACCTTTTAATCTGAGAGGCAAGAATTGGGCAGAGGCGTGGGTTTTGAGAACAGTTTGGTTGCCTTGCAGTGGCAGAGGTGTCACCAGAGGTGCTGTTCAGTTCCAGTGGTGAATCCGCTCTCACCCTGCCTGGAATTTCGGAATGAGCTGACTCCAACCTTTCCTTTCCAGGTTGTCCTCATGAATACTCCCGTGGAGAATGTCCATGATCTTCTTTGCCTGTGTGGTGAGGGTGAGGGATGGGCTTCCCCTCTCGGCCTCCACAGATTTCCATCTCAACCAGGACTTTCTGGAGTGCAGGAAGAGGCTGAAGGCGCTCTCCTCCATCCTGGCTCGCTACCCAAGTCGGGGCACGGCCAAAGGATGTAACCTGAGCATCCAGTGAGTCCCTGCTCTGCTTTGCTGGGGGTTTTTTGGCTTTAATTTCTGAAATATTGCTCTTGGGGGTTGGTATTATATCGAAATAACGCTGTGGGTGTGGTCTGCAGTGCCTGATTGCACTCTGAAATCCCACATTGCTTGTCCAGGCTGTGAATTCCAATGATTCTGAAGCCTTATTCCTCAGTTCCTTCTCAGTGTAGTGACCATGTGCTTAGTTACATATTTGTATATATTTATATGTTCATATATTGTATTTTGTATGTTAATTTATATAAATATACTTACATAACTGTTATTTGTTTCATACTGTGTTATATTTACATAAATTTCATTTTACACTTACATTTATACATATAAATACACATACATTTATAGATATACATATTTACATATGCATACACAAACACATTATTTATACACATTTAGTTCTATATTTTTAGATATAACCACAATATTTAGACATATTTTGTTATATATTTATAGGTATATCCACAATTTTTATATGCATTTAGATATATATTTGTGGCTAACCACAAAATATTTATACATACTTCATTATATATATATATTTATAGATATATCCACAATATTTATACACCATTAGTTATATATTTATAGATATATCCACAATATTTATACACATTTAGTTATATATGTATAGATATATACACAATATTCATACATATTTTGTTATATATTTATAGATAGATACACAGTAGTCATGCACATTTAGTTATATATTTATGGATAACTACACAATATTAATACATATTTTGTTATATACTTATAGATATATACACAATATTTATACACATTTAGTTACGTTTATAGACACCTGCACATATTGATACATATTTAGCTATATTATTATATTTATTATTTATATATGTTTTGCTCATGTTGATTTTCATTTCATGTGGCAAAAATGGGAAGTGCTTGTTAGTCTTAGCAGTTGGAGAATCATGGATATCTACAAATCCCTTTAAGAAGGTATCCAAATGCTTTGGAACGATTTAGTTTAGGAGAATAAATTTATTAAAGACATTACAGAGAAAGAAGTGAAGAAATTTGTTTAACCTCATTTAATAAGTGAATTTTAGCTTGTGATTGCATTTCTGGTGAGCAAATGGAAGAAATCTTTAAGTGACCCTAAGCTAAAACTAAGCATCCCTTTTTGTGGGAGTTAAAAAACACATGAATTTACACTGAAACATCAGAAAAGCAAGAGATTTTCATCTCCATTCCTTTTCACTCAAAGCAAACTTGTGCCTTTTGATGCCAGCAAGTGCTGCTGCTTTTGATCTGCTGTGCAGCAGCTCAGGCCTGGCTCTGGAACGAGAGCAGTGCAATTGGATCCCTGGCAAAAAGGCCATAAATTATGGACAGCTTGGAAAAGGTGTTTTTAGGCAGGCAGGGTGTTGATCCCAGCTGGGAGCAGCAGGAATTTGGGGAAGCTCCCCACTGGAACTGGGGCTGGCAGAGCCAAGCAAAACTGTAAATCCCAAGTTCACAACACAGCAAATAAATATAAATGTGGTGAAATAGAAAATTGTGAGCGGGAAATGAAGTTGGGATAAAATATAGGAAAAAGAGGAACAGACAAATTGTTCAGTTTCAAAATTTGGGTGTTAAACTGATTTCCTGCTCACAAATGGCTGAGCTGCAAGGGAAGATATCCCTGAGAAATCTCCTGGAAGGATTGGGCCATCTGCAAGTGGAAACTTTTTGTATAAATAGAAGTTTATTTATATATAAATATAAGTTTTATTTATGTTAATAAAAGATGGATTCAGTATTAGAGGAGCCCCTTTTAGAGCAGAATTTTTGTTGTGATGTAGCAGGAAGTGCTACATCACAATAAAAATAAAAATTTGCAAATTTTGGGTTGTGCAAATTAGCAAATATTTCTTGCTGCTAATATGATGTTGCCATGTTCAAGGGAAGCAAGGAATCCATTTGCTTCCTGGGAACAAACTTCCTTGCTTTTATTTTTTTTCTGCATTTGCTTTCAAAATTGGTCTTCTGACCACCTTGGTTTTTTTTAAGGTGATTTAAAGCCAGTCTGGGAAAAAATGTCCTCAATTTGTACTGATGTACCAATTTAATAAAGTCTGTAATGTGCAGGCATTGTGGATGAGTTAAGAATAAATAATTGTGTAAGAAAAAATAGATCTGCAGGGATTGCAGGACAATAAAAAGTCCTTTATCTTTTTTTTTTTTTTTGCAGTCTGCTCTCTCAGCTCAGTCTGTACATTTTGTTCTGACAGACAGCACAGCTTCATCCTCACGTTCAGCAGGACTTTCACCTTTTTATGTTGATGTGATTTTTTTTTTTTTTTTAAATTTCTATTTCAGTTTCCTTTCTTCTGGGGATATTGCCTGCATGGCAATCTGTTCTAGCAGCTACTCAACCATCATGGCCTTCTGCTTCCTGGAAGAGCTTCGCTGGGAATTTGCTGCTTCCTACAACACAAGGAGCATCAATTCAGCTTCCAGACCATATGCTTTTATTGAATTTGGTTTGTAACTTTGCTCTCTAATAGTAAAAACCCTCTTTCTGCCAAATGGATGGTGTTAAACAACATCTCCTGGCTAAAGGCTGATGATAAAATTGACTCTGGGTGTGCCTTTGACTGCATGTGGAGGAGGAGGGGGGGGCCTTAATGCCCTAAATTGAAATTTATAATTGATATGTTATATGAAATAAATTGCAATTGAAAATTGACCTAATTGAAGTATTTGGTTTGGAGTTCCTGAGAGTTCATCTATTATGAACAAAAATGCTGTGGTGACTGATGAACAAGCAGAGAAGAAAAAAGAAATGGATATCTTGGACGCCTTCTAACTTAATTAAAAAATCTGACAAGTGAGGACAGATGAGTACAGGAAAAAAGGGAGACAGAATAGATTATTATGGGCAGCTTTATTTCTGGCATGACTTGGAGCCAGAATACTTCAAACCCATGCCCAGTGGTTCTTTTTTAACCTGAAATAATTGGTTTTCTTGCCAAGTAGCAGCTGCTCTACTGGACCTCACACCTTTGAAAGACACAATTCCCTTGCAATGAGAAACTTTTCTGGGAAAGAATAATATCCTGCAGTGTGTTTGCACTCTTCAGTCCAGATTTCAGTAACAGTGTTAAACTCAGTCTTAAAAACTTGAGACATCCATTAGGAAAGCTCCTTCCAGAGCAATCTTGGATTTTGGGTGGATTCTCTGCAGGGCACATTACAGCCAGGATGTAATTTCATATTGAAAACAACATTGCTCCTTTTTTCTTTTTTAACTTAAGTAGGGGAATTGGAGTTGGGGAATTTCTCTTTTAATTGCATAGAGCTTATTTAAAAAAAATACATTTTAAAAATAATTTTTACTATTTATGAAGTTACTGAGTGCCTAATATTGCTGTGTGGTTATTTGTTTATTTATTAATTTATTCATCTTTATTCCTGTGTTTGGATCTAAGATGCACTTGATGCTCAAGATTTTAATGTTTTGTTTGGTAGTTATAGATTATTTTAATTTTTTTTAGAGTAGATATTAGAAGAAATTCTTTCCTGTGAGGGTGGGGAGGCACAGGGTGCCCAGAGAAGCTGTGGCTGCCCCTGGATCCCTGGAAGTTTCCAAGGCCAGGTTGGACATTGGGGCTTGGAGCACCCTGGGATAATGGAAGAGGGTGGCACTGGATGATCCTTAAGGTCCCCTCCATCCCAAACCCTTCTGTGCTGTAAAATACCTAAAAGAAGTATTTTTATTCCTTAACCAGCAGTGGAATTTCATGCCTGAACCCAGTAAGAAACAAAACAACGAAATTAAAACAATCAAAGAGAACGCCGTGATACGATAAAATATCACCCCAATTAAGGTCTTAACAACACTAAGGACTAATTAATCAGCCTTTCAGAGGTGACTTGAGCAGCTTTTCCTGTTGTTTCAGATAACACCATCCAGAAGGTGAAACACCATTTCAACAGCAGCCGCGGCTCCCGGGCCAAGGCCGGCTGGGAGAGGGTGGAAGAGGAGCTGAAGCTGCAGCCCCCAGTGCAGCTGCAGCTGGAGGCCACCGAGCTGCTGAACGGGCTGAGCAATGGAGAGCATGCAGGAGGCCATGTGGAGGTTGGTAAGTTACTTCTACACCAGGTGACAGGAGATTTCCTCACCCTCTCCCTGCATGTTCTTGCCAGGTGGTAGATGTGCCTGTGAAAATGTAAAAATTTTAATGAAGGCCAGTAGGAGACAAGGACCACAGAGCAAATGTTATTACAGCCAGGTGCTCTTGGCACTGAACCAAGAGCATGCTGTTATCTTTGGGGATATACCTTAAACACCTGTTAATTCCATCAGCCTGTTGCATATTTATAGATCCTTATGCATAGTAAACTTTTTCCTCCAACTAGTTTACATGTTCCAAGAATTTTTAGCCTGGCTTCTTCTTGGGTTCACCTTTTTTAGAGCAAGTGTATTCCTTGGTTGTGGTTTTAGTCCTTTTTTATCATTCCCTTCAGTTTTTGGGCCTTGGTCGACACTGCCTTCAGAGGGTGAGTGCTGATGGTTGGCAAATCTGTACAGGTGTCCTCATCCTGTGTTTATTGGATGTTATCCCATCTCAGCAGGCATTTTAACACTGATATCAGCTACTTCACTGAGCTTAATTAACAACAGAAATAAAAACTGTATCATGATAACAAAGTTACTTTAACATTACACATAGAAAATCTATTTTAATTTGCAAAAAAACAATATTGTAGTATGTATCTATAACAGTAGAAATGCTGCAACCTCCCTCGAAGTGTCTCCTTCAGAAGCTACTCAGAGTAAGGCCACCAGAGCAGCCATTTCAAGTCCATGCACACATACACACACATTTTAAAAAATAATTTTTACTATTTATTCTGCCTTCCTGAGCAGACACCTGTCTTTTCATACCAAGACAGATTTCTGACAAAGATTGGCAATAGTGCTGCAGAGCACCAGGGGGAAGTCCTCTCTTTCAGCCTAGGTGGGAAAAACTCTCTGGTAAATATTTCCAGGACAAAGTCTGGTTTATTACGTTCCCACAACTCCCCTGTTTTTTCCTACTATCAAGACTTCCCCAATGAATTTTTGTAGATACTAAACTAAACAGGGAAACGTGAGTAAAACGATAAAGACAATGATTACAACCTACAAAATCTGTTTGGCAAATGAGGAAACCCATCTTGTCAACCCCATTGTCTGAAAAGTTCATTGATGTCTGAGTTCTTCTCAACTTTTAAGCCCTTTACTCTCTACTTCAGCCTCTGGACGTGGATAGATGTTGAGTGTGAAGAAAGGTTGAAGCAGCACATCTTTTCAAAGTCTTGGCAGTTATGTCCATGGGCAAGCAGTGCAAAGTCTGTTGCTGCTTGGTTTTGTGGTGTTGCATGCTTGCTGTTATTAGCATTTGTTAGCAGCTCACTCAGTGCTTAGGATGTAGCACTGCTTTGCTTACTTAGATAGCACTTGCAATTCTCTTAGCATTTCTAAATTTTTTGCAGCAGCAACCCCAGGGGCCAATATTGAGGCTGATATTTTCCTTTTTCTACCTCAAAAGTAAATTTTGTTTTGGCAGTCAGATTTATATTGATGGACAAGTCTGCTGTGCTTAATTTTTTGGTCACGAATTATGGCCCACAGCACGTGGCAGAAAAACACGTGAGGGTTCCTTGTGTACCAAGAAATGTTTATTTACATCGTGTGTGTGAAACCAAAAAAGGCTTTTTCCATCATAGTAAACAACATACGAGCTTTACATTGCAGCAGGTATGCAGCAGAGCTTTGGAGACTGCTGTGGAGTCTTTTTCCAGCCTTACAGCTTCCTCTCTGTATGGAAAATATAGGCTGGGCTTGGTATTTTCCATGTGGAATTCTCTTCTCTTCAAATGCTTGTTTGTACAAATTATTAAAGAAGCTCCAGTGATTCACTGCTTGTTGCAGACTCATAATGAAAGATCTGTAGTTACAGTTTGAATGAGTTTCTTCAGCCTTGAGGGAAAAGATGATGAGAAAATACGAGCTGAGGGTAACCTCTTGTTCCCACATTGTCTGGCTTGAGTTGTTCTCCCCTCTTGCTTTTTCCTTTTACCCTGTTTTTTAAAAAATTTAATCCATTTGATTAAAGTTCTGAAAGAGGCATTTTGCATCTGTATAAATAACACAGAGGCCTTTTTTATAACAAAACCTGACATTTTACCTGCTTTTGAAGTGCCAACCTCTAATTCTTTATAAAATGGTTCCTCTTACTTGTGTTTCAGTTGCACAGTCAAGGTCCTGCCTACCTCCTCCACAAAGGAAATCATAGAATTACTTAGGTTGGAGAAAACATTTCAGATCATTGAGTCCTATCAGAAACCAAACCCTGCCAAGTCCACCACTAAACCATTCTCTATTTTAATCCCATTAGCATGGTGGTTTAAATGCAGGTGGAGTGCCATGAGCTTGTATTTCTTTTTTTTTTTTTTTTCCTTGTTGTTGTCCTTGGCTTATGAAACACTAATAAAATTAAGTTCCAGTTGCTCAATCTTGCTGTTTGTGATAGATGAGCTGGAATCTAATTTGACATAGGTATTTTAAATTAGAGTATGGAAGGGCACTGGCCAGGAGGAATTAAAAATAGACTGGAAACCACTTTATTTGCCAGTCAGATTTGTGAGTGCTCCTCAGAAATGTGCTTGAAGGTTAAATCTTTTCATGTTATGACAGAGCTTAGAAATTCTTTGCACTTTTTCTTTAAATTTTGAACAGCTTCAGTGCCAGTAAATATTTGTGATTTAGTCTGTGTCCACAGATCAGAAATATATTTTCACTTCCCTCTTATTCCTAATTGCTTTCCTTTACTTTCCATCTGGCTTTTTATTTCTGGCTGTTATCTCTGGTCTAACCCAAATACTCTCACAGATTGTTCTGCCTTTATTTTAAGGATCATGTTTATGATCATCTGTTTGCCTCCACTGGAGTCAGCTTTCCTGGCTTGTGTCTCTCTGCTCTCATCATCCCCTCCCAGCTGAATCCCACTTTGCTGCTCTAAGTTTAGCTGTGTGCATAGTGTTTGTTCCATATTAATGTTATTTATGTGATGGCTCTGCTCTGCAAGAGGCTGTTGGAAATGCTGTGGCTGCAGGAGAGCAGGATTGAATTGTGACTGCACTCCCTGTGAAGGTTGATTGATCCAGGGATGATCCAAACATCCCTTCTCACATGGCTGGAGCTGCTCCTGGCCTCTTTGGAGCTGGGTGAGCTCATCCTCTGGCTCTTCAGTTTGCTGTGAAAAGGGCTAGAAAAGTCAGGTCAGCTTTGTTCTTGCTAGTATTCATGAGAACAAGAGATTTTCCCCTTCTTATTTCCATTCTTTCTGCTGTTTGTTCTTCCCTTTTGTTAACTGGCTACAAAAACCCTTCCCTGGTACCTTGATCAGCACCCACCCAGCCCTGGCTGCTGCTCAGAGCCTCTCTGGTGCCAGCGTGGGCACAGCTGGTGCTGCTGCAGAGGACATGGGGCTGTGGGCAGGGCACAGGGGGCTCTGAGGAGCTCTCTGTGGGCAGGGGGGGTTTGCACGTCACAGCTGATCTGGGAAGCAGCAGAACAACTTGTGCCACTGGTCTTGTGAACCCTGCAGCTCCCCTTGGTGAGTGTTCTTCACCTTCCACAGGCACACAGGGAATCCTGCAGAGGCCTTTTCAAGGGGTTGTTTTTGAAGCTGTCTCTCTCTGCCTTTTGTGTGCTTGTATTTCAGTTGAGGCTGGTGGGGTGTGATTTCATTTCTCACTCCTGGTGCTTTTCTGCAGTGTCCAGCCCTGTGCTGTGCCTGCAGGAGGCAGATCCCAGCTGCTGCACACTCTGCTGTCTCCTTCCAGTGAAATGGCCACAGGCCTCTGCCAGAAAATCTTTTATGGGCAGAGGTTTCCATTTCTTCACTGTGTTTGCAGTTATTCTGCACGTGTTCAAACCTGCTGCTGCATCACCCACAGCTCCCAGAACATTTCAGGGTCTTGTGCTCTGAAGTGCACAACTTCTGTGCTTGAGGAGTCAGATCATTGTGAAGCCTAATTAATGTTTATTTATGCTTGTGGTGCTGTCTTGCCCTGACTATTTTTTTCTCTTATTTTCCCTTATCTAATGTAATATGACATTCCAGTATGAAATTCTCTTTATAAAAATATGACTGACTTCACCCAAGGAAGTGAAATAATTTTCCCTTAGCAGGACCCGTCTCACTTCTCTGTGCAATTTCAGTTTGTGAGTTAAACCTCAGAATTTAACAGCACAAATAAATCTCTGCAGCAAACCATTTCAAGACCAGTTTGCACGGAATCTGAACCCTGAGCAACTGGATGTTTTAATCTCCCCTGCATCTGTGACAGCAATCCTTTTTATCCTCCTGGACTAAAAAGAATGTAACTTTTAAGTAATATTTCATGCTGCAGAAGCAATATATTGAGACCTACATTGTTCTTCCCTAGGGACTGGGAACTCTTGGCACGTGTAGTTTGCAGACATTCATTCTGCTCAATGAATGACATTTGTATTTGATAATTATAATTTGTTTGAGACACATTTATGCCTCTGAAGTAAACCTTAGAATTTGAGGAACAGTCTTTATTAGGAAATATCTGAGGGAGAGTTACACATATATATAGCTGAAATATTATTTAATTAATCAAAAGCAGGAAGTAAGAATAGCAGGAAAAAATAGAAGGAAACTGAATTCTGGGGGTCAGTGAATGAATAAAGTTGGTGCTGCAAGTTCTTTGTAAATGTCAGTGTGTAGCAAAAGAAAAGCCAAATTGCCTTGGAGTGACAGAGTTACACCATTCTGTCTGTAATATCCAGTAAAGCTCCCTGAAGTGACACACATCAAACTGAGTTGATCCAGTTCCTTTGGAGCTGAAATTATGGGTGTGTGAGAGCGTGCCAGACTAATTAATTACAGAGCCACGGATGAAAGGTGCTTTACATCCCTCTATTAATTTGACACCAGAGTTTTTTACATCCATCTATCAAAATCTGGCTTGAAGGAGAAGGCAGAGGTGTTTTTCTCTCTGAAACCTTGTGGTGGCTGTTGTGGTGTTTCAGCTGTCCCTCTAAAGGAAGCCAGAGGTGCAGTTTATCTGCAATAGGCAGGATCTGGATACACCAGGGAGAAGATCCTGAGGGCTGGATGGGTTTTTTTGAGGGCTCATTCATTCTCTCCTGTCTGTTGGGTACAGGAGAAGATCTGGATTTGATATCTGAGCTGCAAATTATCATTTTATATTAAACACACAGTGTCCTACTTGTGATCCAAGGGCAGGGATGAAATGTGGGTGAGGATCAAGGTGTGGAATCTGTTGTTGAACAAGTGCAGGAAAACTGGAGGTGTGCTCTTGGCCAAGCCTGAATTAAAGGCAGCAGATTCCAAAGCTAAACACACATTTATGATAATTACTTTGACCTTAATTAGGGATGTATCAATGAGATTATCCTGCAGAATTGCTGTTCAGCAGTGTGGGTGTTAAGCAGCAGCAGAGAAGGTGAGAAAGGAAGGAGGCAGATAATTCACTACCTGTGAAATGGAGGCAGCCTGAACCCTCAAGCTGCCAGTGGGAAGAAATGTTTAATTGCTGGTTAAGGAGGAGATGAGTTGCTGCCTTGCTCTGATGGGTGGCTGAAATCAAAGCCCTTCCCCAGACCTTTGGGTGGTGAAAGCCTCTGGCTTTTCTGCTGACCTGTGAGGAGTGCTGAGCATCCTCATCTGCTGGAATAAACAAAGAATTATCTATGTGCACCATAGCAGAACACATTGATACCAAATAGGTCAAAAAAATCTGTTGCTGACCTGTTTAAAAATGCTTCAGAGCCTTTGATAATTTCTGGATGTGTGAAGAACTGAATACTGCAATGCAACAAAAAAAGGGGGTTTCTGTTCATAATCAGTCTTCCCTGCAGCAAGCGTGAAAGGTTTTGGAAGTGTTTAAAACCCATACAAGGTAATTGTGGTGTTTTCTATTAAAAGATTGAAAGTAAAAATACAAACTCACTAATGCCTGGTTTTCATTTCATTTCAAGTCCCTACTTACAGAATGCAGCCTGTGACCCCCCTGGGGATTCTGTCACTTGTTCTGAACATCATGTGTGGAGCTCTGAACCTCATCCGAGGAGTTCACCTGGCAGAATATTCCTTTCAGGTAACCCTGATTGCTCCCACACCTGAGAGTGAGTGAAAGGCAGACAGATTTTTGGGTACCCAGTTCAAGGGTGGCTGTTCTGCCCCTTAGCTGAGCAGACATCTTTCCACAAGAAGAGTTTTGTTTCTCCAGGGAATGTGCAGCTGGTTGCTCACCTGCTACACCCTGTGTATTTTGCTGTACACATCACAATATTCTGCATTTTATTCTGTTCTAGAGAAGTTTAAATTTTGAGAAGTATTTTATTCTTACCAGTTTGCCTGGATTTTTTTTTTTCTCCATTCTTGCATTTTATTTTAGATCCTCTTCTGTATTTTGGGTTTTTTTTAAATAAATGAGACTGTAAACAACTTTTAAAAAAGGGGGAAAAAAGTGTCCTGATTGTATCCTGACACAGTTTTATTTAGCAGGAACTGTCACATAAGCCTCAGTTTTTGGTGATATTGATCTTGGTGTTTAACACTGTTACAGTCAATCAACATAAACTGGGATGAGAGGTTCTTGACTATATTTATAATGTTCTCAAATATCAAGCAGCACTTGCTAAAAGCTGTGCCTGACGTACTTGTCACTTCTTTTAATCCCAACAGGAGGACCACGAAGGCATTGGAAATGTGATAGCTTTTTTTATACCTTTTCTAGCCTGTGTTTTTCAGGTATGTTAACTGCAAATAAATTTTTTTTTTCTGATTATTTTGCTGTTATAATTCACAAGCCAGAGTCATTTTTAGCTAAGAAGAGTTTTTTAATACCCTACCTAGGTGATTCCACTGATTTATGCCAGTGAAGTGGCACAAAAGCAGCTTGAGGCACATTTGGACCTTTGGCAAATTGCATTTTCAGGCTTTTTCAGTGCTTCTGACAAGTCAGAGGGGGCTGGGTGGGATGGATAAATGCCATCCCAAAGATGGTTTCTTCCCAAAGGGATGGGCACATCTTCCTGTCAGTGTCAGACTTAGTGATGGGCTTTTGCAGCACAACCACCTTGAGGACTGAGCAGATATTGGACAGCAACATTATTGAAAATGCTGCAATTTACATGAAAAATCACATTGAATCCTGTGGTTCCTTAGATTTTTTTTCCATAATGGGGTTATTTTCTCTGACCTTACACAGAGGAGCTTGAATGAGGAAAACACAACATCTTCCAAATTGACTTTTCTTGAAAGGCTCCTTGAATTCCTAAAAAGTTCCACAACCTTTAACTTGAAGGCAATATATGCTGGAAAATCTTCAACTTTTAGCCTGGCATTGCAGAAAGGTGCTTGTCATGGTTTGACACTGGTATAATGTTAGTGTTTTTATGAAAATGCAACCTTTTAATTGAGTGTTGTGAAATGTGATAGAGAATATAGAATTAAATTCTATTTAATTCTCTGGAATTAAAGAGAGAGAGTTTTTTGGGAATTCTGCTTTTAACCCCTCTGTGTTCTCAGAGGTGTGTCTATTTTTAATTAGTTACTTTAAGTGTTAATATTTAAATTGACTTTTTTTTTTTTGAGAAGATTTTTTTTTGTGTGTGTGCTGCAGTTTTGTTTCTAGGAATAAATTATGCCAACATTACCTTTGTTGTACTTGGATCACGCTTTGGGCACCACTATCTGCAGACTTTGATGTATTTATGGGCTTATTTGTTGTATTTATGATACAATTCAGTGTCTTTCAGCTTCCTTACACCTTTGCTCATGGCAGAGCTTTGGAGTGAATAGATTTATTTAGATTTAATAGATTTATTTCAATCTAATAAATTAATTTAGATCTAATAGATGAACTTAGATTTAAGTACCTGATGCAAGCTGTTTTTCACAAAGAAAAGCTGTGTGCTGCCTCTTTCCCTGTGAGTATCTGGAGCCAGGGAAGCTGAATAAAGGAGAATTCTCTCTTCTCCTTTTGTTTTTTAGCAGCTTCTTCCCAAAGTGCCTGTGCACAACCTGCAGTGCTCTGCACGTGCTGACCTCTGCCTGTGGCATCAGCACAGCTGGAAATTGTGACCTGAGCTGACAAAGGCTGATCTGTCACTGCCTGAGGGGAAAAACTGACTCCTCTGTCAGCACTGGGAGCTTTTCATGTTCTCCTGGGAGGGTTTTGCCCTTCACATGCTCAGTAGATGGGTCCCAGGCAGCAATTCCCAGCTGGATGCATGGTTTTGTGCAGAATTCAGTGCTGACTCTCCCTCTGTGTTCCTTTTGCAGTGTTACCTGTACCTCTTCTACAGCTCAGCCAGGAAGGTGAAGACATTTCTGCTCCTTTTCTGTGTCTGCTCATGCAACATCTACTTGTATGGATTGAGGAACCTCTGGCAAATCTCCTTCCACATAGGAGTGGCTTCTCTTTCCTCTTATCAGATCCTGACAAGGCAGCTCCTGGAGAAACAGCCTGACTGTGGTGTATGAGAAAAAAAAAACCCAAAACTTGGGGTTTGCTACTCTGTTTTTACAACTCTTTTTTTTTTTTTTTTTGTATTCACCTGGCCAAAAATAGCTCAGAGTGTTTTTTAGTCATGGTTATTGCAAGGAGAAGAGTTCCAAGCAATTTGGGATAAGTAGGATCCTGTAATTGTGTCCAGCACACAGCGAGGGGTGCAGCTGGATGTCACATGGTGCATGGAGGAGCTTGTCAGGTGTCACCACTGATGGAAGCTCTTGCCATCAGCAGGCTTTTCCTCCTTGCTGCCACCATCCAGACAGCATTTTGCCATTTGTCTCACTGGCTCTGTGACAGCTTGGCAGGTCAGTCTTGCCCTGATGCTGCAAATACTCAAAATAGTGTAGTAAAACAAAGGTGAAGTGATGAGCAACATTTTTGTCTCTAGATTGTCTTGGTAAATATGAGTGAAGGGGTTGTTTGCTGTAAATAGGTGAGTGCAGTATCAGTGAGGAAAATGCTGAGGGTGAGCTTCAGGATCATTTTTCTAGGTTTGGAAGGACAGGGAAAGGCTGTGACTCTTTTATAAACCACAAAATCTATAAATATCTCCGTGGCTGAACAGCACATTGCAGTTTAGTGTGTGCTCATGGGTTAATTGCAAATATGCTTGGGGCAGCAAAAAATAATCCAAGTGGGTGTAAGTGATCTGTCATCTCTTGTGGCCTTTGTTTCCTTGGCTGAGGTCACTTTTAGGATAAGGGCAATTCCATCTTTCCTTGGCCTGTATGGATAATAAATCTTCCAAGCCTATTTATGACAGGCCACTGACTCCTTCACCTTTTTTTAACAAAATGAGTAGCTGGTGAGCAGAAAGCCATTTCCAGGAATAGAAAGCAAGAGCAGGGTCTCTTTGTTCTGTAAAACACCTGTGGGTAATGGATGAATTCTTACACTCAGATGAGTTTCTGGGTGTGCACTTTGGAATAGGGGACTGGAATTCCCAACCTCTGCTGCACTGTACTGGCTGTTCTGCTCTCTCATGGATCCAGGTGCACAGGGGCATTTGAGGGCATAGATGAATAATTTAGGCTGGCTGTTAAAAAAAATGCATAGCAGTTTGATGCAGCTGTCCTTGAGGGGTTGTAGAGATTCAATCTGAGATGTAGAGAAGTGTGGGTATGTTATTGTGGAATTATAGTCCTAAAATTTCCTTTTTTTTTTTTTTTTCTGGTCATTCCCATTTTTTCACCAAAGATTTCATTTTCCTCTCACATAGTCTCTACCTCTGGTTGCAAAGAGATTAACATGCAGCAGAGTTGTCTTTTTTTTTTGCAGGAGCACTTGACAAAATTCCTTTCTTTTATCTCAGTGAGTTTCCCCGGAATCTCAGGATGCAAACACGAGGATCAGACCAGAAATTTGTGGTGCTGGACTTTGGAAGCACTTCTGGATGCAGCTGACTGCAGCAGCAGCATCCATGGGCAGCCCATTACAGCCTGGGCAGTTTTTAGGACATCAGGAGACTTTTCCCAGGAGGAAGTGTAGGGATTTCTTTTTCTCTGCACTTACTGTAAGAACAACATGATAAAAACCTCCAAACCGTGAGGAATAGTCTGGTAGGAATGATGGAGGAATATTTTAGCCAGGTATTTAAGGACACAGCTGGAGCTGTGTGCCATAAGGGAAAGGTTTTCTGGTATAAGGGAGAGAATTAAAGTTTGTCTGTCATTATCCCAGTTTTCTGTCAGAGTGCAAGTGGAGAAATGAAGCCTCAATTCAACCACTGTCCCTGAGACACCAAGATGACCCCACAGATGTGACAGGTTTTGTGCTGCTCTTAATTTTCATACTGTTCACTCCCAGTTTTCCCTGGTAAATTACTGCTGGAGACTGCAGGGAACTCAGCCACCAGGTTAAAAAAAAAAATCTGAAAAAAGAATACCCCCAAAAATATGACACTAGAAACTTAACACTTTAAGGATAATGGATCTGGTGACTGGTGGTGTTTTCCAGGAGGATAAATTTGATATCAACCTTTCTGTGGGCTTTCTGTGGGGAAAGGATGAAGTGTTTGTACTAGAGACAGACAAATCTTCATGAGAAGTACTTTAGGACAGGAGCCAACTCCCTCCTCCTGCCTTTTTATCCTCACTCTGGTTCAAAAATCCAACAGAGGTTTTCCTGTTTCTCCTGGCCTGAGGCATACAGAGCATTTCCAGAGGGCATCCTGAGAGCTGATGGGAAAAGCTGTGACATTCCTGATGCTGCCCCAGCATCCATCTGCTCTGCCCTGACACAGATCCATCCCTGAGCCAGGGCACGGCAGGCACAGCTCTGCAAAGCACTTCTAGGACGGGGTTTCTGGATAATTGTGCAATTAACAGAGTGGAGAAAGGTTAAATTCAGCTTTTTTAAAATTGGCTTTCCTAAAAACGTTTTGGTAAAATCAAACCAAATCAGTTGGTTTGTTTCTGCCTTTGCCTAAACTTCTGGTTTTTTGCTTTGTGGATTTTTGGGGAATGTGGCTGAATCTTCAGGTGTTTTCTACCCAGTGACAAAGCTCTGTTTTGGTGGTGGTCTTAATCCCTTTGCAACCTTTTATTTTCCTGTAATAGGTGTAAACGTAGATTAGTCTGTGTGCACTTCATAGCTTTGGGTTGGGGTTCCAGGGGGAGGCAGAGCACATTGAATTTAACCTATTTTTAGTTTTAATTTGGTATTTATCCCATGTCCACACAGTATTTATACAGTTAAACATTTTCTCCTGGCAAGACAGAAGACGAATAGAATAATTTACATTGATCTCAGTGCTTTAAGATTTGATAAAAAAAGAACGACTTGCAATTAGAGAAGATAAAATCTGACTCATAATGTGGAATTTTTTCCTGTTTTGAATCAAATCCCCAAAGAGAAATCCATCCCTTTTTTCAGCTTTAAAGTGGTTAATGTGGTTTGAATTGCATCTTCTTCATTCTGTCACTTTGCAAGACAAGTCTTTTGGAAGCTCTTCTCACCCAGCAGCTCAGCACAAGCAAATTGGCAAAGAATAAACTTCAATAATTTCCAGATTTGCTTAGTCAGTGCTTAGTCACTTTATGAAGTTGGTAATTCTCTGTTTTGTTTTGTTTTTTTCCCTTTTCTCCCAAAGACCTGTTGAGTTTGTAGAAGGTGGGCTGGTACCTTTTTAGACATTTTTGCACTGTATTAATAATTGAACCTGTGTAAATGTGTATAAAATCATTTTGCATGTATATGTATATATGTACATATATCTAATAAATGGCTTTTTTTTGTAATGGTTGTCTTCATTCAGTGTTTGGAATTTATTGATTATAGGAGAAACAAGATTGATCAATCATTTCATTTTTGCAGGCGCCTTCAGTGATCCCTGTGGCCAATTCATCAGCTGAAGTGTATAAACATATTTATAAATAGTTATAATATTTATATTATAAGTATATATTATATAATATATATTATAATATTTATATTTATTAAAACCCCATATTTATAAATATTCTAAATATAAAAATTTAGTTATCCAAGCAGGGGATTGCAGGAGGCTGGGATAGAATCTCCTTGTGGCTTTAACAAGCTTGCTGTTTATTTTCAGGGACTCTCAGAGGCTTTTCCTACAATATTTCTGTGTTGAAGTGGTGAAATGAGATGTGACACATCCCAAAGGTGCCTTTCCAGCAGCCTGGCAGGGAGTAGTGGGGATGTGGCAGTTTGCAGGTGCATTTTTAGCCTTAATGCAAACAGGCCTGTTAATTAATCTGTCCCTACTAAGAGCTTGTGGATATTTTGGGCGGAATTTCAGCCACCTTTGGCTCTGAAGACACCAATCCATCATTTTTAAAGCAATGAAGGGGTTAATGTGACAGAAAATTCAGCTTTTCCATCACTGGAATGGGATGGGTTCATGTGTGGGGGAGATGCTTTGTGGGACAGGACTCAGAGGATTCTGCTGGATCAGGAACCAGAAAATAAAACAAAAATCAAAGAGCTGGAAGAAATCAGCCTTGTGGAACTGATGTTTTTTTTCACGTTTTTCTGCTCCCTGCTTCTCCACAGGATACCTAATGGCTTCAAACTGACAGAGAGCAGGGTTAGATGAAATATTAGGAAAATTCCTCACTCTGATGGTGGGGAGGCTCTGGCAGAGGGTGCCCAGAGAAGCTGTGGCTGCCCCTGGAGCCCTGGAAGTGCCCAAGGCCAGGTTTGGAGCAGCCTGGGACTGTGGGAGGTGTCCCTGCCCATGGCAGGGGTGGCACTGGATGAGTTTTAAGGTCCTTCCAAGCCAAACCACTCTGGGGTTCTGTAGCAAAAACAAAACAAAGCTCAGAGAGAGAGAGAGAAGCCCCTGGAATGAGGAGAGAGGCAGAGCAGAGGGTGGGAGTCAGGAGGAGAGAGCCTCATTCTTCTGAACTGCTCTGCCTTTTGAAATCCAGATGTTATTTTTGTTCTGTAAACAAATGATTGCTCAAAGCATGTTTCTTCTCAGGATGCCAGTGGAGGGGAACAGCAGCCTCTCCCTTTCTTCTGTGGCGAGGGGAGAAAGCAATTATAACTCCCTCTCTCTTTTGAAGATGCTGATAAAAGGAGGTGGGAGGATCAGAGGGTCCCTGTGCCGAAAGAGAAACAATCTGATTCCTATCCTGAGGTGATAGAAATACATATTTTTATTTTAAACAAAGTAACTCCACTTCTGCTGACTTTCAAAGGTGACCCAGTTGCATGGAAAAACTGTTTGTGAGGGGGGGAAGGAAACCATGGCCACAAAAGCAGGGGCAGGCAGGGGTGGGGACAGGTGAAGTGTCCCTCTCAAGTGGTCATGACTTTAAAAGCCCTGGGCCACTTGTCCTAAGCCTGGGACAGTGGAAGGTGTCCCTGCCCTGGCAGGGGTGGAATGAGATGAGCTTTAAGGTCCCTTCCAACCCAAACCATTCTGGGATTGTGTGATTCACTTTTCTCTAGCCCTTGGAAGAATCCTTTACAAAGTAATTTAAATGGCAACACCAAACAAAGAGCCCCAAAAGGTCTTTGCTCCCTGCTCCCACTTAAAGTACACGGTAAGCAAAACACAAAATGCCTTTAAAAATCCCTTTGGTGGAATAAATGTCTTTTGATGTAAGAATGGTAAGGAAGGCTTGAAATAATGAGCATTAAAAGGTAAAGAACCAGTCAGGACAGCATGGAAGGCTGAGATTAATCCTTCATTATGCAGGGGAAGACATTAACTGCTGGAACCCCAAATACTGAGAATTTTGGGTTTTCTGTGCTGCCAGGCACTGACCCCCAGGAGAACACTGCATTGACCTGAGGCCGTGGAGGAGCTTCCAAAATGGAATGGCAGAACTGGGATTGTGGGTGTGGAGTTTGAATAGAAGTGTGTGATATCACAGGGTGGGAAACTCAGAGTTTGAGGGTTTAGAATACAGGAATAGATATAAAGCAAGATGGAGGTTTTGGGGTGGAGGCTTCTCCTCCTTCTCCTTCTCCTTCTCCTTCTCCTTCTCCTTCTCCTTCTCCTTCTCCTTCTCCTTCTCCTTCTCCTTCTCCTTCTCCTTCTCCTTCTCCTTCTCCTTCTCCTTCTCCTTCTCCTTCTCCTTCTCCTTCTCCTTCTCCTTCTCCTTCTCCTTCTCCTTCTCCTTCTCCTTCTCCTTCTCCTTCTCCTTCTCCTTCTCCATGGGTTTGGGAGGTTTTGTGTAATTGGATAAAAAGCCCACATTGCAGGCATGGGTGGTTGGTATTGTGTTAAAAGTAAAAATAATTCAGGTGTCATTTCTGAATTGGACAGTTGATCCTTAAAAGGCCTTGCAGAGAGAGATGGGCTCCATTTTTAGTTTGTCAGAGTGAAGGGCTGCAGAACTCAGGGTCTGTGAGACTGTGACAGAGATGAGAACTGATAAACATCTGAGTCCCAACAAGAAATTCTGTCTTGCACATTAAATTCCAGCCTTGGCAAAAAAGAAGCAAAGATTCTCCAATTAACATCCCAAATCCTTTATTTCATGGGCTCTTGTGGAGAAATAATAGACAAATTAGGTGGAAAGTTCAGCTTTGAAATTCTTTAGTCCCCACCAGAAGGCAAAGCAAGCACGAGGCTTTCTCTGGGGAGCTGTGGTGGCCTTGGGTAGGAGAAAAGGGCACAGACCTGCCTGGTTGGCCCCAAAATATTCCTCTTTATGTGCTAGATGAGATCAAAAACCCAACCAAGCTGTAGTGAAGGTGCTGAACAGAGCTGTGCAGGTTCCACCAGGCCTGCAGCAGCAGAGCCCCTGTGTTTGGTGGGGTTTGCTGTGCCCTGGGTGCTGCTCAGAGGATGTGGCAGCACAAGCAGAGCTGCTGAGGGGACAGGGACTGTTCCAGGGGCAGTCCCTCCACCTGGGATGTGCTGTCCCTGCTTTAGGTGGGACCCAGATTTGTGTAGGAGTGCTTACCTTTGCCAGGCAAGGCACAGGACCAGAGGAAATGGCCTCAAGTTGTTCCAAGTTCTCCTTCAGCCAGGGGAGACTTGGGTTAGGCTTCAGGAAAGGTTTTTTTACAGGAAAGGCACTGGAACTGGCTGCCCAGGGAAGTGGGGGCTGAGTAACACTCAGGGGATCCAGAGCAGGAACCTCTGGTGCTTGGGGCATCCCAGAGCTGGCAGCTGGGTTTTTTGGTTTGGACTCAGGAGCCAAAATCCCCCTGATGAGTCACAATCACAGAATTAACAAGGCTGGAAAAGCCCTCCAAGGATTGAGTCCAACATCCTCTACTCCACTAAATCATGGCCCAAGTGCCACACACACACATTTTTTGGACACTTCCAGGGATGGTGCCCTGTGCTGCTGGTACTGAAGCTTTTGCTTTGTGTCTGGCCCACGTTTAATTAATAAAGCTACTTTTCCCCTCTCACAAGCTTCTTCCTGGTTTGTTCTGGGGCTGGAGGGAGCAGCAGCACTTTGTGGTTGATACACTAAACCCAGCAGGGAGAAGCCTCGTTCCCCCCATTCCCAGGGCTCCTTGGCTGTTCCTGGAGCTCACACAGGATTTCCTGATTTCCCCCAAGCATGAAGGGGTACATAACATTCCCCTACACAGGTCCATACACATTCCCCTGTGCTGGGCACTGGTGAGGGCACACCTCGAGGGCTGTGCCCAGTTCTGGCCCCTCAGCTTGGGAAGAGGAGGTAACGAGGCTGGAGAGGGGCTGGGAACACAAACCCTGTGAGGAACCCCTGAGGGAGCTGGGGGTGCTCAGCCTGGAGAAAAGGAGACTCAGGGGTGACCTCAGCACTCCCCACAGCTCCTGAAAGGTGGCTGTGCTCAGCTGGGGCTGGGCTCTGTCTCCAGGAACTGACAGAACCAGAGCACACAGCCTCGAGCTGCACCAAGGGAAGTTTAGGTTGGATATCAGGAAAAAGTTTTTTATAGAAAGAGTGATAAAGTTCTGGAATGGCTGCCCGGGGAGGTGGTGGAGTCCCCATCTCTGGGTGTGTTTAACAAAGCCTGGATGTGGCACTGGGTGCCAGGGTTGAGTTGAGGTGTTGGGGTGGGTTGGACTCAATGATCTTGAAGGTTTCTTCCAGCCTGGTCATTCTGTGAATTCTGTGAATTCTGTGAATTCTGTGAATTCCACTTCCCTGGAGATGCTCTAGGCCAGGTTGGATGGGCCTCCAAGCAGCCTGGTTAGTGGAAGGTGTCCCTGCCCCAGAACTCGATGATCACAAAGGTTTTCCCCAAGCCCAACCATTCTCAGATTCTGTGATTCTATGATAGCAAGGAATACTTTGATTTAAAATAAAAAATATTGAAACAATCTTCAATTCTTCTGAGCTTTCTGCTTCTCCCTTTTCCAGGCACTGGGAGGCACCAGTGCACAAGGCTGGGAAGGAAGCTGAGGGGAACCTGCCAAATTTCCTACCTGCTCCTAAAAACGCTACACTTTTCCTGGCAGATTTTGTTCTAGGACTCCTGAAATGGAGATCAAACACCCTGGAGACTACGGGGCTGCAAATCTGCTTAACTGGCAGGGCTGGAACCTGTTTGTCAGAAGCAAAAAACTCACTGCAGCTTTTATTTTTTGGTTTTGCATGTCTTTAAGAAACAAAGCCTCACTCATTGTGCTGAATAGTGGCGCTGCTGGTCTGAGCCCTGGGGTTTTGTTCTCAGCCTGAGGGGTTCAGGAAGGGGCTGGAGGGTTTCTGAGACACACGTCCATACATTCCTAGTCCTTATCTGCAGAATAATCTGCAGAAACTGCCTGGAAAGTTGAGTTTTGGAATGGGACATGAGGAAAAGCCTTGGTTCC